GCTCAGCATGCTTTGTGGGGGGGAGGGGGGGCTGACACAGCATTCAGTGCTAGGGATCAAACCCTGGCCCCTGCACTTACCTAAGCAAGCACTTAATCCACTGAGCTAAACCACTGGCCCTTATAAATGAAATGTTTTTGTGTCTACATGTTCACTGATAAACTACAATTAATTTTTGTATGTAGAGCTTATACCCTATGACTTTGCTGGATTCCCTTATTAGTCTTAGGACTTTTCCATATAGATGACCACATCATCTGCAAACAGGAACCACTGTTTCTTTGAAATTTATATGTTTTTGCCGATTTTACTACAGGGTAGCCTTACTTCAACGGTTACAACTTCCAGCACTTGAACTAGCAGCACTAAAGATTTCAGTGGTCAAGACAGCTATCCTTGACTTGTTCTGGATCTTAAGTGGAAAGCTCTCATTTCTGTACCACTGAGTACACTGGCTTTAGGGTTTAAATAGGTGTTCTTTATGAAGTTGAGGCAATTTTCCTATATTCGTTTTAAGAGTTATTAAAAATGAGTATTGAATTTTATCACCCTTTTTCTTGTACTATTTTTTTAACCCAGTACTGTATTGGATTTGGCTGATTCCTAAATACTGAACCAGTCTAGCATTTCTGGAATAAACCCCTCTTGATCCTGGGGTATCATTTTTTTTTTTTTTTTTTTTTTTCGGAACCGGTGATTGAACTCAGGCCCTTGCACTTGCCAGGGAAGTGCTTATTCTACTAAGCCATCTCCCTGGCCCCGTTATCATTCTTCTTTTATATGGTGGTGAATTTAATTTGAAAATATTAAGGATTTTTTCATGAATATAATGACAGATATGGCCTGCAGTTTGATTATATTCTCTGAGTGGTGCTTCTTATCAGGGTAACACTAGTATCATAAAATGAAAGGGAAGCATCTTCTATTTTCTGGAAAATACTTAAGACAAATACTGTTTGTTATTTGATGAGATTCTCCAGTGGACCCATGTGGGCCTGCCGTTTTTTGCATTTTTTTTTATTTAAAATTAATCTAGGGGCCAGGGAGATGGCTCAGTGAATAAGCACTTCCCTGGCAAGCACAAGAGCCCGAATTCAATCCCTGGTTTTGAAAACAAACAAAAAAAAATAATAATCTAAAAAATAAATCTAATTTCTGTAATAGGAATAGGCCTACTCAAAATACCTGTTTTATACTGGATTTCCTTTTTTCAAATTACTTTTTCATGTAGACTGTCAAGTTTATGTGTGTATTAGTTTGTAATATTCCCTTGCCATTTTTGTGGTATCTGTAATCTATAGTGCTATACCATTTCATTCCCAAACTCTATCTTCTCTTTTGTCAGTCTTGTTAAGTCTGTCGTTTTTACTTTTTCCAAAGAACCACCACCTCTCTATTGCACAGATTTTTCTTATTTTTGTTTCAATTTTACTGATTCCTGCTCTCTTTAGTTGCATCTGCATGCTTTGGTTTATTTTGCTTTTCCTTTCCCGGTACTGGAAGTGTAGAATGATAATTTGAAACCACGTGTAGTAGCACAATCCTGTAAGCCAAGCACTCTGGGAAGTTTCAGCCCACCCTGGGTGACTCAATGACTTAGCAAGACCCTCTGTCACAATAAGGGACAGAAATGTAACTGGGTGCAGACACTCAATACCCTGTGAATGATTTGAAATTTTTCCTGTTTTCTAAGGTCTGCATTTAGCACTACAAATTTATTTTGGCACTGTTTTAACCATATCCTACAAATATCAATCTATTTCATTTCCATTTTCATTCAGTTCAGTATTTTTTTTACAATGTTCCTTAAGTTCCTGCTTTGTTCCATGGGTTATTCAGAAACGTGTTGTCTCTTTTCAAGTTGTAGGAAATGTTCTTGCTGTCTTTATTGCTAGTTTGAGTACAATGAGGTTAAGAGAATATTCTGCATACTATTTAAAACTTGAATTTTATTATCCATGATGATCTATGACGGTATATATTATGTTTGTACTTGAAACACATATGTAATTTTACATATTTTTTTTAAAGAATAAACTTTTTTTTTTTCCTGGCTCAGCCCGCTCTGGGGGTGGGACTGGTGTGGCATGTGGCACCAGGGATCAAACTGTGGGCCCTGCATTTGCCTAAGCAGGTGCTTTAGACTGCTGAGCTATCTCACTGGCCTAGTTTTGTATTTTTAAATAACAGTCATTACAAATTTTGGGAGCACAGAATGAAATTTCAATTAATAAATACAGAAAGGAGCAGGTCAGGGTAAGTGACATATATATCACCTTAGAACTTTGTGGTTTCTTTTTGTTAGAAACATTCATAATCTTCTCTACTAGCTATTTTGAACCATGAATTATCCTACTTGTTAAAGAATACTGGAAGTTATTCCTCCTGTCCAACTGTACTATGGACCTGTTATTTATCATCTCTGTCCCCAGAAAAGCTGTTTGTTGTTGGATGACTTACGCCAATTAGATCAGCTGAGAGTAGTACTGAGTTCTTAAATGTCTTCAATGATTTTGTTTAGTTTTCTTTCAGTGTATTGAAAGAGGGTAGAAGCATACTGTTAGGTCACATTTCTAACTCCATTCTGTTCATGTCTTTTAACTGGTGCCTTAGACCATTTATATTTAATTTTCATGTTAATATCTATCATTTAAAATTTTTTCTTTGTTCCAACTTTTGTTTTTTTCCTGCCCTATTCTGTTAGTTGAACATTAGAATTCCAATTTGATTTACGTAGTTTTTTTTTTTTTTTTTTTTTTTTAGTGTATCTCTTTATATGGCTTTCCCAGTAGTTATATTAGGCATTACTTTAGATTTACTGCAGTCTAATTTTACCACTCTGAAATACAGAAAACACATTCAGTGTGAACCTTGATTTTTCAGTTTTGAACTTTTAAACAGTTCCTCTCTATGCATTTAAAACCATCTTAGGCAGCATTATAATCTTTGCTTCAACTATTACACATAATTTAGAAAACTCTGTGAAAGCATTACCCAAATTGTTACTGTTTTTTTTTTCCTCCTGATGTTCTACGTTCTTCTTTTATCACTTTCATTCTGTTTAGAGAACTTCCTTCAGTCATTCTCTTAGGATGGATACACAGGCAATAATTCTCTAGTTTCTTTAAACTTATTTAGCTGTCTGTGACTAAGGTGGCCCAGCAGAACTACATCAAAATATAGAACTGGAAGTCACCCTAAAAGTGGGACCAGAACTAAAAAATTACTCTTTCAGGACATAAATGGCTAAAGGGAAAAAGCATAGCAATCTATCAGTAAAGTTACGGGGATTAGAAAGGTTTAGAGATTTGGAAACATCTCAACTTTGAGATTGCTGTATGTGGAAGCTGTGATAATGTGGGAAACAGAATAAAGCACACAAAAAATTCAAAGACCAAGAGTATAAAAATGAAAATACACACAACTTTCCTTTCTGTTGAATAGCACCATAATATTTTTTTTCTCAGAAATTCAATGATTAAACGACAGTCTACTACCCTCTTTTAAGTTCTAGCCTACAATATCATAAACTTTGTTAATAGACAAATCTCTAAAAACTCAGGCCAGCAAGATCATGAAGAAAATGCTGATGTGGTCAATGCTATTCATAAGCCACTGCCACCGAATCACTTACCTGATAACACACCCCTCTCTGTGATGCCCATTTCCTTTAAGGAAGCAGCTGGGAGCCTTTCTGAATCCTTAAGTGGAGGATATCTCCAACTTGTGCCTCTCCTTTAAATATCCTGGTTCTCTTAATCTCCCAGTACCCACATCTTCTCCAGTCACTATCATTCCACCCCCTCCTTTAGAGAAAAATGAGAAAACAGGGACTGTTATTTCAAGGTCGTATTTGGGATGCTGTATTTCCCATTTCAATGGCCACAGAGCAATGAAGGAAAATGATGACCTCAAGTTTGAGAATTCCTTAAATGATGAGGAACTCTTTCCAGACAGATTCGAGATACTCACAAGTTCAGAAAAAGAATGAGCACATAATTATTTAGTTGGCCTTCTCTTTTAATCAAAAACATACTTTGTTACAGAATTCTCAAGAAAGGTTCAACTATTTTTTTAGCCACAGACTTCAACCAAGAAAATGTATACAGAAAGCCACAAAGGAACTACCTGGAGCTTCAGCTGCCCAGTTTTTCCAAAAGCAGAAGCCAAGAGGGGCTCTTCTCTGAGCTTCGGCATAGCTGCATTCCTCGGACCTCAGGGAAGGAGACAGAGTTGGGAAACAAAACCAAATCTGTCCCTAGCTCCCCATTCTTCCAAACTGGGCTCTGGAGCCCGACAGGTTTTCATCATCTACAAGCATTCATACATTTCCAACAAGTCACATATCCAATGCATTGAATCGAACCACATATTTGAAGTTTGCCAACTCCACATTTAGCCTTTTAACCAATCCAAGCCCATGAGTCCTTCTACCAATGACAAGCAGCCTTAGCGACAGCAGCTGGTTTCATCCCTTCCTCTCCAGCTACCACAGAGCTGGCCTCTACCAGGACTCCTCAAACCCCCTCATCATCAACCCACACTGAAGGAAGGCTTTCCAGGTCCTTGAAAAAAGCCAGCTTCGTTAACGTACTCATCCAAGGGTAGACTGGAGAGAACTGTAAGAGGAATGATCCAGATAAAAGTCATCTAACTAAATTGGACCTAAAAAGAGTCAAAAGTGAATTATCATTCACTGATACTTTTTGAGCCATTTAAACCCTTTTACTTGATGCAGTACAGAAGAATTTTCGTTTTAAGGTTTAGAAGGGTTAAGAAACCAAAGACCCAAATTAATAGCCTCTAATATCACTAGGCATTAGCAACAGGTTTTTAATCCATTTTAGTTGAAAAAAATTACCAACACACAGCACTTAGGAAGATGGTACCACACCTATACCCACTTGAAAAACAGAAGGTCATGACTCAGAAAAAGCCTTTATAAATTCTGATGACAAAAATAAAATTAAGGCCTTTTCCTCGTGTACTGTTTGTTTTTGTTTGTGAAGTACTTATTGTATCCCCTAAGGTGGTGCTAAGCCTTTGGTTAAGTCTTAAGGACATATTATGTAACTTCTTGTCCACAGAACAATAATAAAATATCAAGCCGTCTCATTTGAATAACATGGAAATAAGTAAAAAGCCCCTTTAAACAGTGGAGCAAAGGTAAGGAAGAATACGAAAACTGCTGCAAGGCAGGCAAGGTCACTTAGAATTCAGAGCTGGAACAAATAATCTAGTCCAACTCTCATTTTACTGATGAGGCAACTGATGCCCACAGAGGGCAAATGACTTGCTCAAGGTCACACATCAGATTACTGGCAAAGCAAACTAGTGTGCCACTGTCCAGCCTAACACAGAGCCATTTAAGAACATTAGCTCTAGACATACTAAGAAAGCATTCTAAATAAACTGTGAAAAATATCCACCTCAACAGAGAGAAATGATTGTCTTCACTGAAGTTTTCTCTTCAGTTTCTCCTACATTAAAAAAAGAAAAAGAAGCTTCATTCATTCAAGTCTGATGTTAAATCCCTGAAAGTATCAGCCATTACTTTATCAACTCCTTGGGGCAGGATATCAGACCCTCAATTTTCACAAAGGCACCTATAGGTCAAAAGTATATAGAGAGAAGGCCAGAAGAGAGGACAGTGAAAAAAATCAAAATGGAACAAAACAAAAATGGCCCTCTTATTTTCCAAGATTTGTAGGTGTGTATTGTTTGCTAGTGTCCTCGAGTACTGCCTCTGGCTGTTGATGCTAATTTAGCAACCCTGTAACCCCAGTTTTTCTATGAGCACCAGTTAAGTGGAAGCAATGAAACCTTCTAAAACATAACTCTAAAGGTGAAAATGATCATGACTCATTTCTCTCCATAAAATCACCTAAAACTCATAAGAATCAGCATTTAAAGCAATTAAACCAGTATCAAATGCTTGTGCAGTGAAGTCCTTCTCTACACTTGACAGGAAAGCATCATGGGTACTGAATGTTCTATTTTCAGTTGTCTCGGTTTCTTTGCTCAAGCAGTTAGAAATAATGAATCAGAAAGGGAAGAACAAAATACTAAAGGGAGGCACACTAATAAGCACATAGGAAGTGGTAGTTGTTGGAAATAAAAACCAGAACATGAAAGGAAGGTTAAAAACACTAAAAATTCAGAACTTTAATAGTCTGGAACCATTTAGTAATGGCAAAATAGTTTTTCTTAAAGCCACTTAAGTCCACAGAGACAATAAAGCAAAAAGAAATGTTTTATCCAGTATATTTTCTGGATACATATAATTCCATTAAAAAAGGCTTAAAAAAACAAACTAATGTTTTTCTGCTTAGTAAGGCAAGTCTGTAGAAAATTTCATTCCACAGTGATACCAGATAAACCACCTTGGAGCACTGGGGAGAAGGATGGGCCAAGAATGCTGCTATGGATAAAGCCACTAGCTTCTTACCCTCTTCTTGGTAAAACAGAAAAAATAACCTAGTTATCAAAAGGAAGAAAATAGAAAGACTTGCACAAGGTTCTCATACCTATTCTCTATCTTGCCAAGAAGGATTTAAGGGATTGTTTATAGATTACTAGCAGCAACAAGATGGGTTCTGCCTTTAGGGGGGAAAAAGTATTTCTTTAAACCAAGTGTTACCTGCCCCACGGACAAGAGTTGTTAATTAACTTTACAGGTAATTGCTCTCATATACTTATTTGCCTCTGTAACCTTAATTCACAAGTTTACTAATCTGCTATCAATAAATTAATAAAACGATAACAAAGACAGCAACTATCAAACAGCTCTTCCTTACTCAGAATAAAAGTGCCCCTTCTAAAATGTTTTCAAAAAGCGTTGGAATTAATCTGATTTTTCATAAAACAGCTAGTGACTATTTGACTATTAACCAGTTATCAAGAGACCTGGGGCACAAGTATTTCCCTTCTAGATACTTCAGGAGCATTATGGGAAAATACAAAATTTCTTTTTCCAAACAGCCAGTCAAAAAGATAGTTGTAACACACCTTCCTACAATTAACCAAAAAAAGTTGAAACAAGGTATTTACTATCTGGAAGACAAAATATTTTACTTAGCCCTCAAAACTTCTCTTACAAACCACAGAGTTTTCCATAAAAATCAATTTTTCACTCTTAATACAACATAGCTAAGAGTGTGCCATTACTTGGATGTTACAGTAACTGGTCCTTTAGCCAAACCATCCAATCTGCAAACCTGTAATGTTTGTGGAAGGAATGGGTGACATATTTAATGGTAAAGGGAATAGAAACAAGCCATGTTTCTGGAAAAGCAAGATGACATGGCAGTGATTTATTATCATTACCACTGTATACTAGTGGTACTAAATTGTGGAAAACAAAATAGATCTTGCAAAAGAATTTCTTCCCTGACAAATGAAGGCAATACCATTGAGGACTCCCTTTGATAATGCAAAGAAAGGCACAAGACAAAATCGCAATGGGTCTCACACTGAAAGTACCTGCTTCATCTTTCATTCAGCTTTTACTGCAATTCAACATTCTGAGTCTTTGAGATATGAATTATTGGAAGAAAACCACTCTAAACTATACCCACATAATAATCAGATTCTACAAACTACCAAAGCTATTTTTTTCCTAAAATGGACATAATATTTTAAACTAGTAAGATTCTTATTCTTATTCATCAAAGATGACCACCTTTAAAAAATGGAAATATAGTTTAACAACTAAGCTGTTAGGAATAATTGATAACATACTAGATGCTTTCTCAAAATCATGTGACAATCTAGGTAAAAATATAAGCAATTCATAACTAAAAGTACTTTCATATTTTATGGCTCTTAATACAAAAAAGCCAAGAGAGGTGGCTTGGCTCCTGACATACTTATTAGCAAATATTTTCAACAAGATGACTAAACCTGAAAAATCTTCTCTAAAGTAGAAAAAGAGGCAACGGATCACACCATTGCACAGCTAAGGTTCTAATCAAGTAATTCGGGTTAAAAACTCTTATTTTAAAATTCCCTCCTCTCCTACTCCTCCTGCAGAGTCAAGTAAACCTAAAGACAAAATTTCTAGAGAAGGTATCTTTTCGAAATTCTGCCTGTAAAACTTTAAAAACCACCAAACGTACTTAGATAAAAATTGGACTTCCTTCTAAGTATTTGTGAATACTTAACAACAGAAAGAAGTTGGTAGAGAGGCTATTTTTTAAAAAAACAAGATGTGTAACTTGGATTGAGGTCTGTAAATCACAGCAGTAAGCACTCAGTGGTTTCTAGGACATCTTCTTAAGACCGTCTAAGCAAGGTCATAGACTTATTTCAATTGGTTTGAGGACCAGTATGTGAAAGTGTTCTAGAGTTCAAATACGTAACACATCTCAAAGGATCTTAGGAAGCTTTAGAAAGCCCTCAAGTAAAAAGTAAGAACATCTGAAATGCCTTATTTCATTTCATTCATCTAGCCTGCAAAGAATCTATTTGTCTTATAAACAATCAGGCTTATTTTTGCTACGTTAGAAGAAAAATTTAAAAAATTAAGCAACTCTGTAAGTGATACGCATGTCCACGAAAAAGTCCTGGTAGAATATGAGGGGAAAACCAAAGCTGCCCAATACAACTGGCTACTGCCTGTCATTTAGTAGAAGGTGTCTTGCCACTGAAATTGGACTCAAAAGTGCAAAAGAAAAATTTTTAAAAATCAAACCTAGAATTCAACTGTGTATGTTGAGATTCAGTTTTATTTATGCTACTAACTAGGTAAAAAGCATACATATTGTGTCTGTGGTACAGTCAATACATCTGCAACTTTTCTACTTAAAATTTCTATACAAAGTCACCGCAGATTGATATGATCATTGATGGCAAAGGGCTTAGAATAACCAAAAGGTATAAAAAAGTTTGCAGTCTTGCCCCAAGATACAAAAACTGAATTTTAAACATGGCATAACATACATGATTTAAACAGTATATGAAAAAAAAGTCACACATCAAATCAAGTACAAAAATATCCAAACTACCTATTATGAACTGCAATGTTTCCATTATTCTGCACAGTATTTAACATAGAATTTAGCAGTTTCCAAAATACTTATTATTTAAGCATTGCCACCTTTGCAGAACAATGAGACATTAGGTAGAGTGACACTGCTTTTAGTGTTTTTTAAAAATACAAAACCTTTCCCTATGAATTAATGAAGGAAAAGAAATTCCTCTTCTAGGTTTCTTAGTAACCAACGATGTGCCCAGAAATACAGAAGAAAACATCTACTGTTTAACAGGGCAGAAGTATACTTACTGATAAATATTCATTTGATAGGTATAACAAATGTAGTTTTAAATGATATTTGTCTGGTAATTTTAAGGAATTTTCAATATACACACAGATTAGTGTTTTGCCTTGGCAAAATTAAAACTGAGGTTGCAACACAATGTGAATTGAAATCATCTTCACTAGTTTAACTTGCAAAAAATATTTTGGATAAAAGGTTATAATACATTACTATATTTTTTTAAACACAGAGTAAAGTTGCTCTTAATAATATTAACTCACCCACATGGCACAATATCTTGGAATAAAGTATATTTGACAATAACAATTTGCACACAGAATAAAATAGGTGAATTAACTTCGAGAACTTCTCTGCTTTTAAAATCAGCAATATTGAATTTATTCTGTAGAATAACATACACACTGATGTTCTGCATAAAAAAGGCTCTAAGACATTTTAAAGGGTTAAATTTCCCAGCACTGGAATGACTCCTTCATACATAACTGGTGAAGATTTAATAAGAATGTGTTCTTCCTGATCTTCAAGCTCTGAGCCATGCCTGAAAAGTTCTAAATAGAAAAAAAAAAAAAAAAATGATTTTAATCCAGTTTCTGTCTGCTAGGAGCAAGGCAGCAAACACATTTCTCAACCCTTTATGAAAAGATAAAGCAGAACAAAAATGAAACAGGTCTTCCAATTATAAACAGGACTGTATTTTATAGTCCACCATCCTGACAATGGTAAGGGGCCCCCACAGAGAGAGGCCTCAGTCTAAAGGTTGTGGATCTGCAATAGGCATGGTGTGAAGTACTTCATCTAGAAGCTGGAGGGCCCGGTGTAAGTGAATCTCAATCCAGCAAGGTGTTTCTTTGATACTCTGTCTTGGGTAATCAGGTCCCCAGCCTTTCACAAAGCTCATCCTGAGTATGCATAAGCGACGAAGATCATCTACGCCAATGCCGGCAGCCGCTGACAGACCTACCGGAAAAATTCGGAAGACATCAGAGGGAGAAGATGATCTCTTTGCATCCTCCCTATATTGTTTTCTTTATGTTCCTCAGCATATAACTTCTCTGTCAAAGTGCCAAGAAATAACTGTAGACCTAAACTTTACCAATAAGAACTGAACATTTTTGGTTACAGCAGTTTACATTCCTGTGTCTTCTAGGTACCACCAATTATTAATTACCACAATCCACTACCACCCTATCTATTTTTCTCTTTGGAGGTAGAGATGTGGGGATAAGAAATAATTTGTTTTTAAGAAGTAACACACATCCATAGGTTGGTTCTAATTAGCCCTACTATATAAAAGCCTACTTCAGAGTAAGAAATGACAATGAGACAGCTAAGATGTCTGGCTAAAACCTCTTAGATGACCCAGACGATGTCTTCCTCTCAATTTCACAGCATAACAAAGATAATACACAGCAGGGGAAGTAGATGAGCATTAAAAAACTAGTACTACTTCTGAATTCTTTTGAAAAATTGTTTATAGCATCAAAACTAGCAAATTAATGGTTCAGATACCCAAATTTAAAAAAAAAAAAAAACTCTGAGTATGTCTTATCTATGATAAATTGTAAACTCCTGAACTTAAAGCACAACAGAGAATCTGCATCTAATTTTCCAATCAAAACATACAGTCATAGTTAATCTGCATTAATCAATATTACCGTAAAACTAATGGGAGGAATTTGCATGTACTGTACAGAAACCTGCAGGGCCACTGCAGTTTTCTTAGCCAGTGTGATTTGCTTACCACACTGAAGAAGTTAAGAACAGGGGTTGAATGAATCACTAGTTATGCCTTCAGACGTGGAAGATGGGTGCCACGTGTTTCCATCAAAAAGTCTATAGTCAGGAGTTTAACTCTGCAGTAAAAAATTCCCCATCAGTGTGAAACCTGGCACATAGTTCAATATTACCCTAAAATTAAAAAAAAGTCTACAAGTTATCAAAATACCACCCTCACTTAGTTTTCTCTCCAAGTTTAGCATTCTACTTAAAAAAGAAGAAGAAGAAAAAAAAAAAAAAAAAAAAAACAGCAACAAAAAACTGGAGAGGCATCCAATTCTAAAACTGAAGCATGCTTCCTTAACAGAATCATGCCAAGTACTTCACTGCTTACAACCCACCCTGGCTGGTGAGGCAGGACTTATAACAAAAAAGGGGAGATGGAACAACATAACATAATAATGGCCCCTTTTATCACATACTTCTTTTTGATACAAAAAAATACAAACAGGTCCTATTTTACTTAGGCAAAGGGCAACTATTATAGAAGAAACTTTTTTACAAATTCAAAAATGTTATCATTCCCAGTAAGATTTTTAATTTCTATCATTGCTTAAAAGACTTAATCCACCGAGTGAATCAAGATAAAATGTCACTATTAAACCTTAAGAAAAATAATCAAAAGCATACTTACTAATAGCTGGAGCTATTCCACCTACTGATCCAGGACCAGGGATGTTTCCTGCCACAGCTGCTGCTTGGGCAGCTGCTGCAGCTTGTGCAGTGGCTGCCTGCTGCTGCATCTGTCGATGACACTGCCGCAAGTCAAAGACCTTTTAAAACAAAGTGCACATTAAATTAAATGTTTAAATGTTACGTATCCATTAGGAAACACTACATACATTAAAAATCAACGTGCAATTGACTGAAAACTCATAACTTCATTTTTATCTCTCAGCTGAAGAGAATTTATTAACAATTTCAAATTTCTATATAAACTATAATTGGTATAAAACATATTAGGAAAGGTGGCCTGGAGCTCCCCTGAGGTACATTTCATTATCAGGATGACTGGCTGCAACAGGCCTCTCTATCTATGTGTGGGCCAGTTGTCACTGTCCTTGTGAAAAACTACCCATGTGTGGCAAAGGAAGAGTTAATAAATCACACCAGGGGGCTGGTGAGAGGGCTCAGTGATCTAAAACACCTACTTAGAACAAGCTTAGCAAATCACAGGGACCACGGTTCAATCCCCCAGCACCACATGCCAGCCAGCCCTGCCCCTTGGTGGGCTGAGCTGGCCACACACACACACACATAAATAAATGAATAAATAAAAATAAAAATAAAAAAAAAGAAATCACACCATACTTTCATAACCAAACTACCGAGTTTTCTTTAGACTGGAGTTAACGACTTTGGCCACATGACCAACATCTTTCTTTACCATTCTTTCATTCCTGCTATTTCAAAGAATGTAATAAACCGCATTGTCATTATAGAAGAAAATATCTACATTTTTTAGCGATGTGTACTTAAGTACCTAGTTATAGATTAACAAGATTATCAATGTTTGCTTGTCTTCAAACACTCCAGAAAAAAGGAATGATCAAGCAAATATAAAATCTTAACTATTTCATCTAAGTGAAAGTTATATGGGATTTCACTAAAGTTTCTGACTACTTTTTTGAACATTTGATGGGTTAAGTTTCTTAAAACTCTCTGGGGTCTTAATTTTCTTATGTACAAAATGAGAGTGCTAAGTAACTTAGCATACTATACAGCAAGCTGTCAGTAAGTGTTACTTATTTTGGTTTTGGCCTCCTGTAGTCATTTTTCTTTCAAGATGAGTTTGTCAGTAATTTCAGTGTTCTTTATTAAGCAAACTAAGCACTGGAATAGTAAGGAAGGGGTTAATATCATTTCTCCTTCCATCTTGCTGAAAGTACTAGAACGTTTTTTCAATAAGCAACAAATAATGGAGGGCTAGGATATAGCTCAATGAAGGTAACAGTGCCCGCCTGGCACTGTTCAATTTCTGGTATCAAAAAACCTCACCAAATAATAATTACACCATAGTTTTTTTCTAAGAAAAAACAATCTTTCTATCTTTGTAAAAGCACCAAAATATTACACAAAAAAGAGCAGTCACCTGAAAAAGCTGTAGGAAAAAGAAGACAGAGTAGAAGCATCACTGCTTAGTCAGAAGGCTGAGATCTTAAGAAGGTATTACATAACAGCACAAAGCAGGGGCACTTGAGAAGCTAAACAACTCTGTAAGTACTTTTTCTTTAAAAAAGGCAATGATTAACTTTGCTAGTTTAAGGTTTACAGCAAAACTGAGCAGAAAGTATACAGAAGCCCTTCCCTCACATAAATCTCTCCCAACTATCAACACCTCCACACTGCTGTGGTATATTTGTCATAATCAATAAAGCTGCACCGACACATCATTATCACCCAAAGTAAAAAATTTATGTTAAGGGTTACTCTTTAGTACTGGCCACTCTATATGTTTGTACAAACTTATAACGATATGTATCCAACACACATTATTTCACATAGAATAGTTTTTTGTGTTGAAAATCCTGTACTCTACCTATTCTTTGCTCCCTCCTCTCTGAACTCTAACACTCAGCTTCTGTCTCTAGACATTTCTAAAGTACACAGCTGGGATCATATGGTATGTGGCCTTTTCAGATCAGTGTCTTTAATAATATACATTGATGTATTTTATTCATGACAGCTTTTTAATACTGAATAAGATCCCATAGTTTGATGTACTACAGTTTGTCCATTTACTTAATGAAGAACAGTTTTGCAGCTTTCAAGTTTGGACATTTATGAATAAAGTTGCTATAAACATCTGTGTGCAGGTTTCTGTGTGGACATAAGTTTTCAATTCATCTGGGTTAATACCAAGGAATTTGACTGATTGTCTGAAGGAGTATGTTTAATTTTGTAAGAAAGGAACAAACTACCAAAATGACTACAATTTCTATTTTCACCAGCAATGAATGAGAGCTCCACATCCTTGTTCACTGTTTGGTATTATCCATATATTCTATTTTGACCATTAGGTGGAGCTGTAATAGTAGCTCTCTTCATCTCTTTTTAATTTGCAATTCCCTAATGACATATGTTGAATGCATTTTCAGATGCTAGCCATATGTATATCTTTTTTCACTGAAGTCTGTTCAAGTATTTTGCCATTTTTAAATCAAGTTGCTTTCGTTTATTAAGTTTTAAATCTGTATATTTAGGCAACCTCTGGGAAATATTTTCTTCCTTATGATTTGTCTTCTCATTCTCTTGACAGTCTTTCACGAAAGTTAATTTCAATCAAATTCAGCCTATTGTTTTTCCTGACTCATGTCTTTGATGCAGTATTTAAAATTTCACCACTCAGGTCATGTACGTTTTCTCCTGCTAGCTGCTAGGAGTTTTGTAAGTGCTGTGTTTTATATTTAGATCTAAATAACCCCTGATTCTGTTTTTAACTATTGTTAAGTATGGTACATATATAATCTCATTATCTGGGAGTAGAATATAAAGTTTATTTATGAATCTTGAAGATTCAAGTATGATTACCATTCTCTCATTATGAATTGCAACAGCCAAATCACTGTCGTATATGGACACAATACAATTATCTTGTAAATACACTGTTTTAGCAAAAATCTATGTAACAGCTGTAACATATATTACAGGTAACCATAAAGATGAAATTTGATGATTTTTCATATGAAAGTATAATAAAAATTATTTATTATGTACTTAAGCAAACATTCAGATTATTTATGTTATTACAACATTCAAGTCAGAAGATTTAAAATTGTTCAAGTAAGCTCAACTACATTGAGACCTGGGTTGCCTCATTTCACACCATAATTTATACATGGTACATGACCGATTTACCCCTTACTCTGGATGGTAAAATTAAGTCTATTATGAAACAGTACCATCTTCCTTTGAGAATCTAAGTTGATCAAACAATTCAAAGTAACCAAAGGCTTTAAATACTGATTTTGGCCTAGATCCAAAATACCTTTCATAGACTCTACTCCTAATCAACAACCTGACTCTGCTTTCATTTATCTGTGTTTCCTATAGCTTTTCATGTAAGTTTATTACAAACTGATTAACACAGGTGGGTGGTCTTACAAAGATGACTGTTAACATCCTCAGGATATCCTCTTTCAATCAGAAGTCAAACTTGAGCATTTTTCTTTCATAAAGCTTAACTGCAAACACTGAACACCAGGAAACAGTAATTTGGAAGGACAAACAGATGGAACTGCTGGTATATAAGCACCTGAACATAAAAATGCTTGTCAAGTTACCTGCTAAAGGAACTATAAAGGAACAGTATGTGAAAATTGAAAATAAATGTAAGTAGGGCTCATACCCTTTAACCTACCCCACTGCCTCTTCTTGAGAGCATCCTGTCTCCTTCCCTTAACTCATATGTAGTTCTGAAACTAACCTAATTCAGTATCATCAGAGAAATGCAAATCACTACAATGAGATTCTTCACATTCACTAAGACAGGTTTTACAAAAAGAAGTGTTGAAAATATAGAGAAGTATGAACTCTCATAAACTGCTAGTTGGAATATAAAATGGAAAACAGTCTAGCAGATTCTCAAAATGTTACAGCATTTACCTTGTGAATGGCAGTTAGATACATAACTGAGAGAAATGAAAACACATGATCATATAAATACTTGCACATGAATGTTTATGGTAGGATCATTCATAACACAGAAGCAGAAACCTGTACCTCCAAACAAAATGTGGACTGTTAAATATTATTCAGCCTTAAAAAGAAATGATGTACTGATATATCCTAAATGGATGAAGCTTAGAACTTACTATGCTTAGTAAAAGAACCAAGTCACAAAAGACTACATTACATGAATTCATTTATAGGAAATGCTCTGAATAGGCAAATACATAGAAAAATAGGTGAGTGGCTATCTAGGACTTTATGGAATGCTGGCTGGGGGTGACAGCTAAAGGGACTGGGGTTTCTTTCTGCAATGATACAATATTTTAAAAAGGAGTGTAGAGATGGTTGCACAATTCTATTGATATACTAAAAAATGAGTTGTATATTTTAAATGGTTAATTTGCATGGCAAGTGAATGAAATATCTCCATCAAGCTTATTTATGAGGGGCTGGGGAGATGGCTCAGTGGAATAAGTGCTTCCCTGGCAAGCACAAGGACCTGAGTTCAATCCCTGGTTCTGCAAAAAAAAAAAAAAAAAAAAACAAGCTTATTTATGAATCTTCAAGGTTCAAATATGGTTATCATTCTCTCATGAATCACAAGAGCCAAGTGATTTCACATAGGGGCCACAATATAATTATCTTGTAAATACATCGTGTAGCATGAATCTATGGCAACACCTGCAATATGTATTACAGGTAACCATAAAGATGAAATTTGATGATTTTTATACGAAAATATAAAATCAAGCTGCTGAAAACCAGAATTCTCAGTTATGAAACACAAAACAAAACAGTACAAAAGGAAAGTGGGGAGATGGGGTGTAAAATAGATCAAGATTTGATATGTACACGTACCAGCTGCCCAAGGTGAATATAATTAGTATGGGCTGCAAATATACACTAATAAAATTTTTTTAAGGGTTTCACATTTGAAAGTAAAAGCAAGGCACCTAAGGTAAAAGTCAAACACTTCATTCAAGCTTACAAAATGCCATTTTATATCACATTTTTATGAAAATGACTATATCATGTAGGGGAAAATCATATCTAAAAACAAAACAACCTTTATTCTAGCTTCTTGACTTGAAAAATGAAATTA